ATAGAACATCCTTCTACTGATGTAATTTAACTTATTTTAATTGATATTTTAACTGAAGGATTAAGGTGCCTACGTATTAGTGGTGTGTCAAAAAGTCCAAGTACTTTTTGTTAATTTACTTACAAGTTACAGCTCAAGAAATTCCAAAAATTGACTAATAACATCAATTACGCCAATAACGCCACGCCCACAATCTCCGTTGTTGATATTGCGTCGCACTCTCTAATACGTCTAGAATACAACAATGGAGATTGTGGATGGGGCATTATTGGAATAATTGATATTATTGTCTGGATTTCTGAACAATGTTTTCTGAAAGATGTAATTTAACTTATTTTAATTGATATTTTAACTGAAGGATTAAGGTGCCTACGTATTAGTGGTGTGTCAAAAAGTCCAGTACTTTTTGTTAATTTAGTTACAGCTCAAGAAATTCCAAAAATTGACTAATAACATCAATTACGCCAATAACGCCACGCCCACAATCTCCGTTGATGATATTGCGTCGCACTCTCTAATACGTCTAGAATACAACAACGGAGATTGTGGGCGGGGCATTATTGGAATAATTGATATTATTGTCTGGGTTTCTGAACAATGTTTTCTGAAAGATGTAATTTAACTTATTTTAATTGATATTTTAACTGAAGGATTAAGGTGCCTACGTATTAGTGGTGTGTCAAAAAGTCCAAGTACTTTTTGTTAATTTAGTTACAGCTCAAGAAATTCCAAAAATTGACTAATAACATCAATTACGCCAATAACGCCACGCCCACAATCTCCGTTGATGATATTGCGTCGCACTCTCTAATACGTCTAGAATACAACAACGGAGATTGTGGGAGGGGCATTATTGGAATAATTGATATTATTGTCTGGATTTCTGAACAATGTTTTCTAGAGGCAAATTAATTCTTGTTAAGTTAAGTTAAGATACTGCGATTGTCTTCATTATAGAACATCCTTCTATTGATCTAATTTAACTTATTTTAATTGATATTATTGCCTCAATTTCTGAACAATGTTTTCTACAGGAAAATTAATTCTTTTTACGTTTACATATTTTAAAATTGATATATAAAAAAAAAAAATTGGACTTGAGCTTAATTGACATTTATTAAGTTAAAATATCATATAACTTGAACTTTTTTTTTTGTTTTGGGAAAAAAATGATATTTTAACTTATAAATGGCAATTAAGTTGCCTACGTATCCCTTATATTGGGAATCAAAGTCCACGTAGTTCTTTCGATTTACTTACCTGTACACGATTGGTGGTCTCTAATAGTCATACTCGTCATCTCCTATTCCGGTTCCACCACTCGTCGTACTCGTAAAATCAGATGCGTCATCGTCGTCGTCTGCTTCGTCATCTACGTACATAGCTGTTTGCATCCTTCGTTCGGCTTTTTTCCAATCCATCAGCAGCATTTGTGCTTGTAGGTTTTCGGGCGTCAGCCGCGATCGTCGTGCGTCGAGCATATAACCTCCCTCGCTGAAGGCTTGTTCGACCGCAACTGTAGATGCTGGGACGGCGAAAATCTCCTTGGCCATCAAGCAAGGAATAGGATAAATACCTTGCATTCTCGACCACCAGTCCAAGACATCGAAATTGAGTGGCGGACTTGGTTCACGAGCAATCGTAAGTATCAAATTCGACGTTAGGTAGTGATCAAGCTCATAGTATCCAGTTCCCTTTGCCCTTTCAACGCCAACATTCTTGTAGGGATTTAATGATGCCCACCACTCCTGAAAGTTCGAAGCGCCTACTTGACTACCGCCGCAAGAAGAAGACCCGCTGCTGCTGCCCCTGCCGCCACGAACGAATGTGCTGGGAGGTTCACCTTGTGCAATCGCTGTTTCCTTAAACATGTCATACAACAAATTTTTTGCTTGCTCGACGAGCAGCAGTACGTTAGGTTTTTTACTGTATGTTGGGACATCAGTCGGGATTGAGAGTTCATACATATAATTAGAATACATGTTAAGCTGCTCTACCAAGCGAGCTTCACGTACCGAAGGATCTAACAAACATGCAACTAAATGTGTATCAGGAATGAAATAATATTATTTCAACCATTTCTTTAACATTTCCTCAACTAAATAGTCATATTTATTAAAATTTAAGTTGTAAAGATCCTTGAAAGCCCACATTATGGCTATAGCTTGACCTAACACAAGCTGAGCAGTAGGATAATAAACACCAGAAAGCATGTTAGTGGCATTTTGAAATGTTTCTAAAAATTGAATAAGTGCATTACAGTTCTCCCAATCTCTTGTTGACACTCGGACATCACAGTCCTTACGGTTTGAATGGTTAAAAAAATTCTGCAATTGTGTCATAAACGGAACCGTGTCACTCAACATTTTAAATGTTGAGTTCCACCGGTTAGGAACGTCGGGTTGAAATTTTTTAGGTTTCACCCCTTGATCTTTACAAAAACGTCCCCATGCTTTCATTTCATGGGGACGTTTATGTAAATAATTAATAGCGTCCCTAATTGGCGTGACCGAATCTTTAAAAGCATGATAACCAGCTTGTACACAGAGATTTAAGACATGACATATACAACGAATATGAAAAAATCTTCCGCCGCAAATTGGAGTGCAAATATCGGTAAGTTCACGTATAGATGCAGTATTTGCAGTAGCATTATCAAACGAAATGGAAAACACTTTTTTACCTATTTGATATTTATCCAAAATTTTTGAAATTAAACGAGCAATATTAGAAGCAGTGTGTCGTTAATGAAATGCAACATAAGCAATTAAACGTTTTTGTAAACTCCAATTTTCATCTATCCAATGACAAGTAATTCCCAAATAGAAATTATTTTGCCAATGATCAGACCAGATATCAGCACAAATGGATACTCTATGATTTAAGGATTTAAAAGTTTCTTGCAAAATTACTTTTTTTTCCGCCACTATTTTTCGAATATCGCGAGTAAGAGTAGTACGTGGAACCCGGTGGGCAGCCGGATTCAAAGCCATTTGAGCAAAATGTTCATATAAATCACTATCACCAAAGCTAAACGGAAGAGATGAAGCAGAAACAAATTCAGCTAAATGGCGTCGATGATTTTCATGTGAGTACTGAAATAAAGTTGGCGTACCTGCACCAATCGTGGCTGATGCAGCGCTACTACTTGGGAGTTGCGTCTGTGCTCTGTCAATTCCTAATTTTGTCGGATGAACCCTCTCTAAGTGTCGTTTCAATGATCCGTATCCATCGCCTTTTTTGAAATGGTATTGCTTCTTGTCGTTCGCCGGGCAGTAGTTGCAAATAGCTAAAAAGTGATTCTCACCTCTTGTCGGATTGGCCACCTTCGTGTAATGTTGTTTGAATATGGCAGATGCCGGTCTGGCACGGGCGAAGGCAGAGGCTGGGTGGCCCGGGTCCGGGACCTCCGGGTCCGGCTGTTGCTGTTGCGTCGGTTGCTGAACCTCCGGCGGGGACTCTCCAAATATATCATCGAAATGGTCGTGATACGGCTGCTGTTGCTCAGGCTGAATTGAGCCAAACATGCGCTCAATCGTCGCCTCACCAATGTCATCGGCGACACCGGGAATATCCACATGTATCGATGGACTCGTAAATTCCGGCAATGGAGGTCTCGACGAAGATGGGCCGGTGCCGATATTTCTACGTTTCTGTCCGAAATTAGAACCACGACCACCACGAGAGCTCGACATTTTATAATTTTAAGAGTAAAAAATAAATTGCGGAAAATTATATAGAATATGATGAAGAAAAATAGATGGGGAGATGTGGTATTTTTTTATTTTTGGATTTTTATTTATTGTTTTTTTTCCGAAAATTTTTTTTTGGTATTTGTTTTTTTGAAAACCGAACACAAAACTAAAAACCGATCACTAAAAACCGAGTGAGAAGAATATAGAGTAAAAGAATAGAGATTAGAGAGAAGAGAGAATGAGAATGTGATTGTGTGAAAAATGTGGAGGGGGAGGGGGGTTTTTATAGGGAAAATTTGGGAAGTTTTTTAAATTTTTTCCCAATTTTTTGTATTTTTTTTTTTATTTCGTGGACCCGCCGGGTCCGGGTCGTACCGGCGGGTCGGGCGGGCCAAAATTTTGGGCCGTTGGATCCCAACGGTCAATTCCGATCCAACGGCCGATTTTAATTTTTCTTTTATTTTATTTATTTATTTTTTTGACGGTTGGGCCCGTGGACCCGGCCCGAACCGTGGTCCAACCGGGCCCAACGGATACGGTATGGGCGTATGGCGCTGGCAGGTCTGACACCGGGTCGGTCCGGGCCGGTCCGGTTGACCCGGCCCGACCCGGCATATAATATTAAAAAAAAATAAATAAATAAATTAAAATGGGACAAAACCGTTGCCGGCGGTCCGCCCGTGGCCCGATCCGGTCCGGCCCGGACCGCCGGTGCGAATTTTTTTTTTTTAGGACCGGGACCGAACCGCGGCCCTTGCGGTTCGGTCCAACAAACCGGCCCGGTTCGGGACCGGTTCGCGGTTCGGGCCACGGACCAATTCGGCCCGTGGCCATGTCTACCTGGTACCCTATTCCTCGGGTTGTAGTGTTAATGTAGGACACTCTGCTGTTCCTCCCTGATTTCGGATGGTGGGCCAGATTGACTAATTAACCAGCGTGCAAAAGTACAACTGCTAACATACAAAGAAGGCTATACATAACATTTGAAAGTTGAAACCGAACTGAAAAATTTCCAATTCTGGTTTGGGGAATAACGGGCGCAAACTGGCGGTTTGGCAAGCCTTGGCCGGCAGGGTGCATAACATAGGAAATGGATTAATGGGATGAGCCGAAGGGGCAATATCGTCTTTCAAAAGAACATATTTCCGTCGTACGTCTGCACGATCTTATGCTTTACATGCCAAGTCGCCCAGGGACAACTAAATTCCCAGTATACCCCGTCGTTTGAAAAACCATATTCATCTTCCTCGTATAATAATCACTCTAAAAGAAGCGACAAACGTCAAAACCTAATTAACTCCCNAAAAAAAAAAAATAAAAAAAAAAAAAACGCCTTCACAGAGAGAGGAAGCACCGTGTCTCTCCCGATCCACTTCGAATTCTGCTACGTAGCTAGATCCACTCACGCCATATATCGGTTTATTTATGTAGAAATCTCCTACATAAATTTGATAGATTTGCGGGTTTTGCTATGGCGGGTTGTATAAAGGGGGTGAACAGATCGGCGTCGACGGCCTTCGCGCCGGATGGTGCGTACATCGCCGCTGGCACGATGGCCGGGGCGGTGGATCTGCAATTCAGCTCATCCGCCAATCTCGATATATTCGAGCTTGATTTCGTGTCGGACGATCGGCAGCTGATCCTGGCGGGCTCTGTCCCTAGCTCTGAGCGCTTCAATCGGATTTCCTGGGGCAAGGGCGCTGTGAATTCGGAAGAGTATTCCCTTGGACTCATCGCCGGTGGCCTTGTTGATGGCAACATTGGGCTTTGGAATCCTAAGCATGTGATCTGGTGAATTCTAGTTACTTGTGTTACTTTTGAGTTTCTTTTGTCGCTAATTGCAAACATCTAGTGGTGATTGTATGATTCATGCTTTTGAGTGTTGATGACATATTTGGCGATTCTACTATTGGTGTTATTTTCTGGTGATGAATATTGGTAGTCGAATCAAAATGGAGCTGTATCAAATGTTATTGAGCTGGATTCTGATTAGCCTTTTTCACATCCCATGTATCTTCCGTATGACCAAAGAAATCTGAATCATGAGAAAATAGAAAACTTGGGTCTTTTTGAGCCATACTAAATATTAGAGAACACGAAAGCCATAACTTTCAGCTGAGTGTAAAATACAGCAATGGTGGTCTTGATTTTACGTATTTTTGTAGATGTTACGTTGTATTTCCTTTTCAATCATCTCTTCCCATATGAGCCTTTTCAGAATAACATTTTGGGTCAAAAAAGCGAATCAAATAAGTTTGTTACCAAACGAGCCAATTAGTGGATTTGATTGGTCAAACTTCTAACTAAGGTTCAATCCGCTAATTTAGCCCCAATCATCTAATAAACTAACGAGCCCATTAAATAAAGTTGGGTTTGCTTCTCATTCCCTGTTTTGTGGCATTCTGTTGAGTCTAGTGTCTAGTCATGAACTTGGGTTTCGTTTTTGCCTGCTTCATTATGATGTTATAGTGTTATACATTATTGACAACCATTAATCTTTATTTTTATCTGACCTAGTTTCATCTAGTTAGCTGTAGTTTGATAATGCGATTTATGCTTCAGTTCTGACCCCAGTAAGAGGGGTTCTGATACAAGTGAGAATGCTTTTGTTGCAAACCTATCACGACACAAGGGACCTGTAAGCATCTGACCGTGAATTTGTATTTTATATGCTATTATTCTGCCTTTACATTATAGTTGTTTCTGATTAAATGGCGAGCATGATATGGGTTTTACTCTGATGCTGCTTCAGGTTCGGGGCTTGGAGTTCAATTCTCTTTCCCCAAAATTTCTGGCTTCTGGTGCTGATGAAGGTGATATTTGTATATGGGATGTATCAAAACCATCAGAACCAAGTCATTTTCCGCCACTGAAGGTATACATAGATTCATATAGCAATTTGTTTCCAGGAAAATATTGTTTAGCATTTGGAACATTGATTATTCTCATCTTTAATGGCATAAATCTCTCTCAAATTCTTTCTGACCATTCTTGTTGAGCCCGGAAAAGTGTTGTGCACTGAATTGCTTGCTCTATTTATACAATCATCATCATATGCAGTCACAAAATGCTGTGTGCTTGCTTTTTGACTACACTTGGATTAGTTTTCCTACCTGTTTATTGTTGGTTTATCTCTTAACTGAGATTTTAAACTGATGCTCTTCAAGTCTTTCCAAATGCTTGTCCTTTGATTGTCATCTAGAAGTAGGAGGGAATCTTAAACTTTTGGAACTGTTCTTCAGGGCAGTGGATCTGCAACACAAGGTGAAATTTCGTTTTTGTCCTGGAATAGCAAGGTTCACAACATATTGGCCTCCACGTCATTTAACGGGACAACTGGTGAGAAGGAAGCTACTTAATGGGATTTTGTGTACTTATATTTACATTTGCATTGGAATAATATAAACATTTCTGTAATTGCAGTGGTGTGGGATCTGAGGAAGCAAAAGCCAGTTATAAGGTAAACTTTGACTTCCATTAAGTCTGATATTTTTTTTGTGCACTTTGCACCACTAGTTATTGACATTTGGCTCTATCCCTTTCTGTATCCCAAATATGCATTCCTTGCAGTTTCTCTGATGCAATTAGGAGGAGGTGCTCTGTTTTGCAGTGGCACCCTGATGTTGCCACTCAGCTAATTGTTGCTTCAGATGATGACAGTGCACCATCTCTCCGGGTATAATACATGTGCCCTTAGTTTTTTTTCCCCTCTATCAAAGATGAGTAATTTATGATTATTGTAATTTGCATGTGCTCATCTTCAGCTGTGGGATATGCGCAATATAATTGCTCCAGTAAAAGAATTCGTTGGGCACACCAAAGGTATATTCTATTTCAGGAGTTCATTTTTACATTGTCACAAGTTAACAGTCTCTATTATTGTTTGCATTTTTCTAGTTGATTTTCTCTTTTAAATTTTAGAAGGGGATATAGATAGTAATATATCAATTGTTGGTTGGAAATGATAAATCCTTTAAGGTGTAGCTAACAGATTTTCGAGTTATGTTCTGATCTCTCTCAAATGGTGATGACTATTGTCTGATGTTCTCTCAGTATTCTCCTGTATTGAATTTATTGTTTTATATAGAAAATGTCGTCAAAGTTCCAGTTTATTTCTAGATTAACTGAATCAATTAATTCAAAGCCTTGAAGCAAAAGATTGGAAATGGAAAGCGCCGAAATTTTGTCTTTCGATATCAATAGTGATTGCAGTAGAGAATTCAACACAAAAGTTTTTGAAACAGAAGTATGCTAGATGAGATCTGGTTAGCCCAACTAAGCCCCACTTGCTCAATGGGTGTGATGTAACTCTTGCAATGAAAACATTGAATAGCATGTGGAATTTAAAGGTCTAGGTTTAATTTGCCTACAGGAACTGTATATTGTTCATTTATGATTTTGCTCTGGTCAATATATGCAAATTGCATTTTTTTATTTGCACTGGCTAAACAACTGATAGCTAGATCCAAAATTACCTTTGGCGGGAAACTTGAGCATAGATGAGCCACTGGAATTTCTATATGGGTTTGAAAGTATATGTTGTATGGTAGGGCTGGAGTTTAATCACTAATTAAAAAGATTGTTTGCATGCTTTTTGAAACTTTTGATGTTTTCTAATCTATGATGAATGGATTTAACACGTGTAATGCAATCAGGGAATAGGAATTCTTGGGAGCTGTTTGAACACCATGTGATGGTTATGTTCTTGTAAGAATAAGAGGTTAATATAGCTAAATGTTATCTCATATATTACAAACATTTTGTAATGGGCTCTTTTACTTGGAAAGTTAGACTAGTTAGTTAATAAGTGAGGATTTCTGTTAGAACCAGACACATGGTTCAAATATTCTGCAACTGCTCTTCCTGCCAATTTCCTCCGTGCTTATCTTTTAGTTTTTTTAACCTGATACATGTGACACTATTAGGACGAGCTTCTTTTTGGTCATCAGCATTTTCACCCTTCTTGTCCATTTTAGTTGTTTTAATTAATTATTTTTATGTGTTAATATTATTCTCTGTTGTATTTTGACCGTGCCTTACCTCTAATAAATTTATTCACACATTGGAACTTCATTGAATGCTGTCTTGTGCATCAGGGGTCATTGCTATGTCATGGTGCCCCATTGAGAGCTCTTATCTGCTTACCTGTTCCAAAGATAACCGTACGATTTGCTGGGACACTGTATCTGGAGAGGTTAGATATTGATTGCTCGTATTACTCTTAATGCCAAAGTGTTCTCATTTACTTTATAGATGCATATATCCTTTTCCAATTTTCTTCGATTCTCCTTTTTCTTCAAGTCAATTTTCTACACGGGGTAGTGATGACATAAGTTATTTTGTAGATTGTGGCCGAATTGCCTGCTGGAACCAACTGGAATTTTGATGTTCACTGGTATCCTAAGATTCCTGGAATCATATCAGCATCTTCATTTGATGGGAAAGTCGGCATTTATAATATCGAGGTGATTTATTATTGAGTGGAACTCATTTGAGTCTTCAATTATAGTTAGTTGTTACTAATGATTCAGGGAAGAAATAATTGTGCAAAATCCTGTGCATATTGTACTCCTTCTTGTTAGGTTGAGATTATTGAATCATTGAGGCATTTAGTGATTGGAACTAGTAGCTGTTACTTACAAATCTGTTAGATTTGCTTGTAATGTAGTTAAAAGGCCATGTGGAACTTACGAATCTTAAAATTTAGTACTCGCAGTTTTTAGTGTTGGACTGCTGAACTCTAGATGTACAAACAGAGTCATGACTTTATATCCAGTGATTAAAAAAGACAGTGAGGCTAGGCAACAGTCCTTTTATTTGCCAGGGTGTGAGACGTGAAGCGATATGCTCACCTTGTTGCTTTAATGCGAGCCAGTATGAAAAAATACAGATTCAACAAATATGAAGAAAAATTACTCACAATTTAATGACTCATCTAGTTTCAAAAATGAAAATTATCCCCAGTTTAAATATCCATCAGAAGCAACACATTTACAAAATTAGTTTTAATGTGACTTCAAAACCAAACCCTTAGACCAAGCAAAATAAGCAATGTCGAAAAAATTATATGCATGATGTTGGAAAAAGAGACAAAAAATGCCAAAGTAATAATTGAAAATCAGCACTATCGACAACATCCCCCACGACACTATTACTGAATGATGTCATAGTTAGACAGGTTCCTCGGAGCCAGAAAATAAAGGAAAAAAGACGAAAATAATGGAAGGGAAAGAGAAAAATACGTAACTCCCGGTTCATTATATCGCCATTCTTGGTTGTCGGATACGGTCAGTTAACGATAAGGCACAAAGTGATTAAGAGTTCTGTTGGAGAAAATGGGAGTAGTTGAGAAATATTAGTGAAAGTCCATCATGACAATAGATTTTATGCAAAAACACAAAAGAATTGCTTATTTTGATCAAATGATGTTTCGGATACAATCTATGTATATGTATATTTCTTCTATTCTTCTCATTCTATTATTTTCAACCTGGATTTGGATTTGGATCTTTGAGATGGATTCGCCTTTTGGATCTCGTTCAGGCTTGAATATAAATTTGACTAACGTTAATTTGGAGATTGAATACCTGAATTAATCGCTAGCACATGATTTGATTGGAAGGCTTCAGACTTCTTTTTATATCTTCCTTGAAGATATATTTGGACTTGACTTGAAAGCTTTTCTTCGGATTAAATGCTATGTTGCTCCAAGACAAACACAACTTGAATGACGATGCTGTGGTCGCCGATCTTCTTTTTACTTGTGAGGAGGGGATGGGCTTCCCTCATTTTCTTGTTGACCTTCTTCTTCATCAAATTTCTGTTAACGTAGTGTGGATGCTCGGAGACTTGATTGCGGATTGCATGTCTTCTACTTGAATGCCTTTGATCTTAAGAACACCTTCAAATCTTTAAATCTTAAGGAATTCTTTGAATCTCCTCAAGAGAATTCTTACGAGCTCTTGAACTTGAGACTCGAGTTATGACTTATGAGGTGTGTTTTTTGGCTTTAGGAAGAGCTAATAGGTCGAGTATAGAGAATCCTACCAAAATTGCTTTGTGAACGATGCAATGTGATTGCTCCTTCAAGATTTTATATGATCCATTTCTCAAATCCTAAGATTTGACTTGGTAAACAAGAAAGCTATTTATCTTATTAATTAACTATGTTATTTATCTTGAATTTATGTCCAAAAATAAATAAAGACAATAATTAATAAAATATATAAAATTTCAATGTCTACACCCATAACCTAATTAGTTTATCTTCCAGGCGCTGTCTCTCCGCATGAGGCGAGTGCCTTTCCCTAGGGCCCCTTGTTACATCTATTTGAGGGGCGCCCAGGCCTTGCCTCGCGATGCCTCACGCCATGTGCTATATTCTTAATCACTGTGTACCTAATCGCATTTCGCTCATGCTTTGGAATTACTGCATTCTGAATAGTTTTAGTAGAATTGTGATTTTATAAACTCGTCTTCCTTTTCCTTTTGGGTTTCCTCAATGTCCTAGTAAAACTTGTGGAATTGGCTTTGTGCTCACTCGGTCGTTCTCTTTTTAATTGCAGGGTACTGGTCGATATGGTGTTGGAGAAGCTGGTGTTGGAGCAGGTATGATATCCTCTTTTAGATGCTGAGAAAGTTACCTATTTTCGTGGGGAGAATAGAAGGAATTATTGTTCTGGGAAAAAAAAGCATTTAATATAATTTAAGGTTGGGATTGGATATAGGGTTTTTCAGCAAATAACATAGAGATGGAAAAGTGAAAAAAATTATACTTTAGAGTAAGTGAGATTTTTGGACTGGAATGGATGTAAGAATAATATAATGATTAAAGATAATATATAAAAACAGTAAAATATGCTTGATAAGATTGATAGTTACAAATGTGTGAAACATGTGACTGTACGAATGGTATATTTTGATGGAAAATATACAATAATGATTGTATTTATTTTTTAATGTGTTAGTGTGATTGTAGAGAAAAAAAGTGAGATGAAATGAACATAATTTTTTGTGGAAGTTTTTTGTATCATCCTCAGTTTCAATGAGATAAATCTTGACCGGGCAGACAAAAATGAAAAAAATTCATATTCAATCGCTACCTGAATGCATTAGCCTGGTTATTTAAAATTTCTAGTATTGTTTGGCATTCCATTGGCCCTTCATATCTTATACACTCGAATTTATCACACGAGATGTTTGACGACTGTATTGTTGGATTAAATACAAGTTGACTGAATGTTCAAAATCAACAGCGCTGCCTCCACATCTCCTGTCTTTTCCCTTCATTGCTCTGATGTTTGAGTTAGTATTGTCTCTGTATATTATCAGTACACAATACTTCGTGTATTCACCGTCCACCCTTTTCTTCCTGATTGTGTTGGTCAAGTGTATATTGAAGATTGTTGCATTAATGTGAGACTTATAAATAAAGGACAAAATGAAACCTGAAAGTTCACATAGTTGTGGTTGTTTTGGCTGACCATCTTTACCGAATCTTAGATTAAAAGAGCATAAGTTGGTCTCCTTGTAAATATATGTAAAATATGTGTCTTCTCTCTGTTGTTTGATTTAGGTTTTGTTTTGTCAAATCTCAAATTTAATCCTATCTGTAGCACCTTTAAAGGCCCCTAAGTGGTACAAACGAAAAGCTGGAGTTTCATTTGGTTTTGGAGGAAAGCTTGTTTCATTTTGTTCTGAATCTCCTGCTGGAATTTCTGAGGTACACTGAGGGACTTGTATTGTGCATTGCCTCTTATAATTTACACTTCGTAACTATTTTTATCATTTTCAGGTTTCTGTGCGCAATTTAGTTACTGAACATGGTTTGATTAGCCGATCCTCCGAATTTGAAGCTGCCATACAAAATGGGGACAGATCAGCAATTAAACTTTTGTGCGAAAGGAAATCTCAAGAATCTGAGTATGTTTTCTTTATTCCACAGCACCCCCATCCAGATGAAGTAAGCTGTTATAACATGCATGGTTTAGCCAGAACTTTTCTGTAACCTATTATTTCTTGCCAGATCTGAGGAGGAGAGGGAAACATGGGGCTTCATGAAAGTTATGTTCAATGAGGATGGGACTGCAAGGTCCAAGCTGCTTTCTCATCTTGGTTTCAGCACGCCTGCTGAAGAAAGCGATACTTTAAACAATGATGTTTCTGAGCAGGTAAATACTCTTGGTCATGATGAGAGTACAACTATTGGAGAAGGAGCTTCTGGGTATCGAGCATCTGCCCTTTTTGCAACTGATAACGGAGAGGATTTCTTTGACAATATTTCAACTCCCAAGACACCAGTTTCCAATTCTAAGAATGAATTTGTTGTTGGAGACTCTGTAAACGAAACCTATCCAGAAACCGACGGACAAGAGGAGATTCCCGATTCTTCATTTGATGATGCTGTTCAACGTGCTTTAATTGTTGGAGACTACAAGGGGGCAGTTGCGCAATGCATTTCTGCAAATAGATTGGCGGATGCTCTGGTTATTGCCCATGTAGGTGGTGATTCCTTATGGAATAACACACGTGACCAGTACCTCAAGACAAGTACTTCTCCCTACCTAAAGGTAACGATATCACTTTTTAGATTGCCAACTTTGTTAACATTTTTCCTACTCTCTTTATGAAATTAGTTGATTTCTTGGTACTGATATCGACACGTGCGTGTTTGTGCATGTCTGTGTGTCCTTTTTCTTTCTTAAATAATATACTCATTAAATGCTTCAGGTTGTTTCGGCCATGGTGAACAATGACCTAATGAGCATTGCTAACGCCAGACCTCTAAAATCATGGAAGGAAACTCTTGCTCTCTTTTGCACCGTAAGTTTGTTCTCTCTTGAAACCGAGTTAAAATATTTCAAATGCTGGTAATGGATAAACTGTACTTTAACGAACTTCTCTTTTATTTACTTGGTATACCATTAGCTTTGTGATGCCCTGCCATATTATAGCTATATTATTCCCACGTGTCTCTAAGTTTGAGCTAGCACCATATTTTTCATTTCTTTTGTCCAACTATGTATGCATGCCTTTCCTTTTAAGTAGCAGATGATAACATTAATCTAAAAAATGTGTGAATATTAATACTTATCAGTTTTAAATGACGCCACCATGGTGAGAGGCTCTAGGGACGATCGGAATTCGCATACACCGCAGGTGCCTTGTGGCCGTGGTGCATTTTCTCTCGCCAAAGGGGACGTACAGACGCCCCTGGCCCAGGAACCTCCACTGTTTTGGGAAGTACCTTGATAACTTATTGAATTTGTGCTCTCCTTTAACCCCGATTTCACTCCGTCGAACCTATACTAGGGTTATCGCCTTTTCTATTTCTTTTTTTTCCCTTTTCTATTTCCATTCTTCCGTATTTCTGCTTTTCCTTGAGGCTTTTCTGTTCAACTTTTTTTGTTTTGTTTTTGCGTTTTCTCTTTTCTTTCTGTCTTTGCTTTTTCTTTTCTGCCTTTCATGTTTCCTCTTTTTTCTTGACCTTGTCTGCTTTTCTCTTTTCTATTTCTTTGGACCTTTTTTTTTCATTTTTTCTTTTTCCAATTTCAGTTTTGTATTTTTTTTTTCTGTTTATCTTTCTTATTTTAGTTTCTATTTATTTTTTACTGTTTTTTTTTTATTTTTAATTTATTTTCTGTCTCTTGCCTTTTATTTAGTTTATATCATTTATGTTTCTAATGTTATGTTTTCTCTCCAATTTTATTTGGTGTTTCTGTTTCAAATGTGGTGTTTCATATGATATTTCCACTTGAACTTAAATATTGAATGCACTATATTATTTTTTACGCTTTGGTGCCTTCTGTTGTCGAGGCCTCCCCTCTCACCTGGTGGCCATTCCGCGGGCAAATCACCTCTGATCTCCATTTTCCATTTAAAACTGATTATTATTTGCATGTATATATGTGTGATGTGTTGTAATAGTAGTACAACACTAATTTTGTCCAAGTCGAAACAGAGAAACTATCTAGGTCATGACATGAAATCATAACATGATTAAAGGTGATGTGATTTAATTTGAAACTTGGGGCCGTCAAAGCTGTCTGCAAATACTGACTCTTTATTTGCTCTTCCTTTTGTACATTCGAGGTTGAATTTTGCTTTAATTGGTTTGCACATACTTTCTCTTGATGATAAATAGAATGGACCGGTTCTTTCTCTCTAGAGCGTTTCAGTAGTGAGATTAAGGTAACTTGCTGAGTACAGAGAATCATTCTTAACTTTGTATGCTATAATTCAGTTTGCACAGTCAGAGCAGTGGGCTCAGTTATGCGACACACTTGCTGCTAGACTCATGGCTGCTGGTGATTCTACTGCTGCAACTTTGTGTTACATTTGTGCTGGAAATATCGACAGGACTGTGGAAATCTGGTCGAGAAATTTGGCAAAAGATCAAGATGGAAAGCCTTATGTAGACCGTCTCCAGGTAAGCATACACCGACTACTACATATCGCTGATGACTTGTGCTAGATGTAATATGGCCTTAAATTTATTTCTTGTTTCTCAAAGGATTTAATGGAGAAGACTATTGTCTTTGCTTTGGCTACTGGACAGAAGCGATTTAGTGCTTCATTATGTAAACTAGTTGAGAAATATGCTGAAATATTAGCAAGTCAAGGGCTTTTAACTACAGCGATGGAGTATTTGAATCTTCTTGGCACAGAGGAATTGTCTACGGAACTTAGTATCTTACGTGATCGCATTTCTCGGTCTACTGAGCAAGGTGCGAATTTATGCAACCTCTTCTCATTTATTTTTATAATATGTAGCTGAAGAGTATGAACTTGTTATTTTTGATATGCTCATCCAGCCATAAACATGCCGAAAAAATAAATGAGATAGTGAATTAGAAATGATTTCAGGGTTGTTTAGACGTAATTTTTGCCACCTCTATATTCATTTGTGGGATGCACATACAATGTTTCCAAATATGCTTCGTAAGAGGTTAAATAATAGTGGCGTGGATTTTTGGAATGTAGAAGTGCTTCTGCATCTTGACTGACATCAAAATTTACTGGATTAGAAGAATATTTGAATAGTTCGATTACTGAGTTCTTCTAAAACGATTTTTTGGATGTTATTTATCATATTCTTAAAGTGTCATAATTGGAGATTATAATCCTTCTGTCTCCAGCAATGTGACTTCTAAAATAGTTGTTGCTCAGGTAAAAGCTTGCTTTAAAACCCTAATGTAAATGTTGCACCTTTAACTATCTTTCGTAAATCTTGTTTGAAGTTCACAATTTAATTTGAGTCAATTTGGATAAGAAGGGCAATACCGAACTCCTTGGGAAGTCTATCATTATATAAAAAGAATATCCTTTTTACGAATTTAGAAACATTTTCCCGCCAAAATCATTAAATATATCCTATATATAGTAATTGTTGGACAAATCTGAATAGGCAAATAAATTGGCTCATTAATTGTGTAAAGATTTGTTTCTCTTTTTCCTATTCTTTAGTTTATCAAAACCGTTGTTTGACAATAAATATTTGTTTTTCTTTTTTCTATTTTTAGTATAAATCTACACAAGCTTATCTCTTTTGTTGTTACAAAATCCCATTGCATACGTCTCAAGTGTTTAAAAAATCTCATCCCTTATCTATACAGATTTGAAAAAATAAAATAAAATAGAAACCTATTCATAATTACTATTAGAAATCCATTATCTTTAAAAAGAAAAAAATACAATAAAATAGAAACCAATTCATAATTACTACTAGAAATCTATTAACTACCTTAAGAAGCTAATTTTCATCGGTCTAATTACTAGTATTTTTACAAATATTATAAGCCAATCATACAAAAAAGTATAATAATAATTTTGAAATGGTGTATAATCAAATTTTTTTTATATTCTCTTATATATAATAATTTTACATTGTTTGTCCCAGAATCTGTAAGTTATAATTATTAAGTATTGTTTATCCTCCTCTTTAATTTATAATTATTATTTTTTCTTCCTCTTTTTAAATAGAATCAATAGTAGTTTTCACTTCCGCCATTGAGTGACTCAAACTCGAGGTCTATTTATAATATTGTTAATTTAATAATGTTCCCGTGCATCGCACGGGGTACACACTAGTTGTTCTCATACTTGCTCAAATTTTGTCTGAAGTTCGTGATTCTATGTGATTATATCTGGATTATGAAAATCATGTGAATCCTATGGAAAGATTAGGGCCAATATGGCGACCTTATTATGATGCGATGTGATGCTATGTTGCCAATTCCCATCCCATTTACACTCCTGAGATTTGTTATTCAACTGCAGTCATTCTTTGTGCCATTCCTGTACCTAAGTTTGCTTGTATAAATTTCTCCATCTATTTTAGCTTTCATTTAGGCTAATTTTTACATTCCAACTTTTGTTTTTTCGTTCTTTTGATTTATAAATATTTACATATAAGCAGAGAAAGAAGTTGAGAGAACAGTGACTTATGAGAACAATCAAATGCAAACCGGACCTGCATATGGGGATCAATCGAGTTATGGCGTTGTTGATGCCTCTCAACAGTATTATTCGGTATCTATATCCGATTTCCTGCATCTAAGTGTTTTATCCTTTCCTCGTGATCTTGATTCTAGATATTAATTCCTCCTTTTTGTTTTCCTAAGAATACAGCACCATCCCAATTCCAACCAACTGTTCACAGCAGTCCATACAGAGACAATTATCAGCAGCAGCCTGCTGTTACGTATGGAAGGGCTTACAATCCTCCTTCTGCATATCAGGCAGCCTCACAGCCCAACACATCTCAGCCAACCATATTTGTCCCTTCCCCAGCGCCCCCAGCCCAGACGGTAATATATATTCCAATTTTTTTTTTTAGTTTTCAATTTAAGCTGGTCTGCATGTTTGTCTGGACTGCTAGAGCAACTTTGGAATCTAACTTTGGTATTCATGGAAACACGATTCTTGCAGGGAAGTTTTCCTCCTCCACCTCCCGTTAACACTCAGCCCACTGCAAAATTTGTCCCCACAACCCCTCCTTTATTGAAAAACGCAGAGCAATATCAGCAGCCGCCGACTTTGGGTTCCCAGTTGTATCCAGTATGTTATGTTAGCCTAGCCTAGTCTTTTTTACTACTTCCTATTCTTTTTAAATGTCATTTTGGCTTTATCAACCATTAACCAAATAAATGACCGTTTTGGATCTTCTGTACATATTTTTCCATTATTACCCTCATTTCGCTAATAAATACACCACACTTTTTCATATCCACTCTTTAATGCAAAAAAAGATTCTTAATTATTGTGCAACTTCCCAAAACGACACATACGACACATATTATGAACAAGAGGGAGTTGTGATTTTTTTGTCTTTTTTTTTTTTATTTTTTTTTTATTTTTTCTTGTATTTGTTGCAACGATCGACCAAAAGCTCTAAATTTTCTTTAAATCTATATGACTTAGGGGTCTGTGAATGCTAGCTATCAAGCTGGTCCTCCGGGTGTTCAATCATTTGGTGCCAACACATCTCAGGTTCTAACTCCTCCTGGGCAAAAGGTCTTTGCCCCTACTCCACCAACTAGAGGTTTCATGCCTGTAACTAGTTCAGGGGTACAAAGACCAGGGATGAATCCAGTGCAACCTCCGAGTCCTATTCAGACTGCTTCACTGCAGCCAGCAGCTCCTCCTGCTGCTCCACCTCCTACTGTGCAGACTGTTGATACATCAAATGTACCTGGTAAAAATCTGTCCTACTTTATGTTTAAGTTGGATTAGATAAGTTGAACTTTGTCGTAATATTATTGATGTTATAATTTATTATCTTATTTATTCCTATTTTATTTAGTCAAATTTGAAATATATGTGTCGTATGTTTAAATTTTGATAAAATTTGGATATAATCAGTTGAACTTTGTCGTAATATTATCTTAATTATTTCTAAGTTATCTAGTCAAATTTGAAATATATTGTGTCGTATGTTTAAATTTTGATGAAATTATATTAAATTTATAAGATTGTTATCGATGATTTTTGTGATATTGAAGCGTGATTTACTTCTTCTAGAGTGTGTGTGCATGCATGCGTGCGTGATTAGTATTAACTTCAACGGAACAGATTTACCTGTGCACAACATATTGTATCTATATATATATAATAAGAATTACCATTTACTAAAAATAGTAGCAAAAAATTTAGGAAACATTTTTTTGGACACTTTTTAAATATATGCATTAATTGCTTCTATATACACGTTTCAAATAAGATCAAATAAGATATGTTCAAAAAAATTACTTAAATAATCATTGATATTCATTATAATAAACTACAAGATTGGTTTTCTGTAATTCATGTTGATAATAATTTGGTCAAGATAAATAATATTTTATTAATATTTGTAATACTTTCATTGATATTCATTATAATAAATTAAAAGATTGATCTCTATGATCTATGTTGATAATATTCTGGTCAAGATAAATATTACACCAAATTATAAGTTCTAACCATAATATTAATTTTTTTCATAAATATTCACTTTTTATCCAAAAATATTTATGAAATTTTAAAAAACGTGTGTATATTTTGTAAAATATTTATACACTATTTAATTTTAAATTTATTTACATATTTTAAATTAATTACATAAATAAATAATCCTAACGTGCATTAAATATTTTTCATTACACAAAATAAAAAGAAAAAGAAGACGTACAACTTCTATAACTTTATAACTTTATAAATAATAATGATATCATATGACAACAAAGTTTATAATAAAATAATAATTAAGTATTATATGGTGAACAAGAATAAGTAAAATTGTTATTCTCTCTTATATCAAGGAATAAATATATATACTAAAATCAAATTTATATTAGTATAAATGTGTTAGTGAGATAATATATTAATTATTTTACAAGCTAGTCCTAACATGCTCATATTTAATGTTTTGACTAAAAAAACAACGCTGATTAAAAGAGGTGAAAAATAGATTGTAACCTTATTGTTTATTACACTTAACGCTGATTAAAAGAGGTGAAAAATAGATGATAACCCTATTACTTTATATAATTAACGGACAAAGCCTGTGAAAATAATCCTATTACTTTTTAACCGTTAATGATACCGAATGTATTTATTTTTTCATTTCTTATACTATCTCCTATTATTTTTAAATGCCATTTTGACTTTATCAACCATTAACCAAATAAATGACGTTTTGGATCTTTTGTACATATTTTTCTATTATTACCCTTATTTAGCTAGTAAATACACTACGTCTTTTTATATTCACTCTTCATCTTTTCTCAGAACATCCATCTCTATCTTCATTAATGAGGGTTATTATTGGCAACCAAAAAGATTCTTAATTACTGTGCAACTTCTCAAAACGACACTTATTATAGGAGGGAGTAGTTATTTTCATTACCAGTCACATGGCTGGAATCATGCCAGGATTGACAATTTTCATTTATTTAATTTCCGTTTATATTGTTCTATCACGGTCATATTTCTAAATTCATTTATATTGTGTTTTGTCGTTGGTCTCGAGGCCTAATCTTTATCCTTGAACCCTCACACAGCACACAATTTAAAACAATCAATAAAATTCAGCTCCATTCTTCCAGCTGCTAAAACAACTTTTTACATAATGTTACAGCACAACAGAGACCTGTTATTGCAACTTTAACAAGACTTTTCAATGAGACGAGTGAAGCATTGGGAGGATCACGTGCAAATCCTGCTAAGAAGCGGGAAATTGAGGATAACTCGAAGAAGTTAGGTTCCCTATTTGCAAAGCTCAATAGTGGAGATATATCTAAAAATGCTGCAGAAAAGCTTGTTCAACTCTGTCAGGCCTTGGACAATGGTGATTTTGGCACTGCCCTTCAAATCCAGGTACTGAAAAGAATCCACACATAGTAAATATCATTCAAATTATTTGTATGCTTGTTGACTAAAAAGTACACCTTTTATGCGATATCTGTAGGTCCTGCTCACGACCAGTGATTGGGATGAATGCAACTTTTGGTTAGCAACACTCAAAAGAATGATCAAGACCAGACAGAATTTCAGATAGAAATTATCATTGGTTTTGCTGTGGTCCTTAATCCTTTAGGTGTGGAATTATGTTAAAGTGATATTTGTACACAAGATCTTAATGGATTGGATACTTGGATAGAGTGTTGTTTCTTGTTTCACTGTTAATTATACTTTTTTTGCACTGTCGTGCTTTGTTGAAATTTAGTTTGAAATGTTCAAGCACAGTCCAACATGATAACCTTCTGTGGATTATGAGATTTTTAGCCAATTACTTTCGCCACATGGTATATGTAGTATTAAAATATAGATATTTTATGTTCTCTATTTTTTCTTTTCTGATATGTGATGCACTGTTGTAAGTTTCCCCTGCTTTGGAACTTGCCTCATCTTTCTCTGAGGCAGGGGTTATAAAGAAAGACGATTTTTATTTCCTTTGCCATTGTTGCCGTTCTTATAGTGCACCTTTACATTTTCATGGTACCACCTCATCTTTTAAAATTCAAAATTGCTTTCATATCTCTCCTCTTTCCTTCTCTCTTGAAGGGTCATTTGTATTGGGGGCTCTTGAATGGTCGGTCTATTAATGTGGATTGTAGGTTCAAGAATTTAAAATACCCTCGGGTATGGTACTGTAGGCTATGGGTTTGAATAAACCAACAAGATAAAAAAGAAAAATTGATAATGAACAAAAACATCTTATAGAAACGGTTCGTGTATTCACTCTTTTCCTTTTCTTTTTTCTTCACGTTTTCTTCTCTTCTTCCCATTTTTTTTTATTCTTCTTCAAACATGAATGGATAGGAAAAAAACAACCAGAAAAGAATAAAATAAAAATGAAAAGATGGATCAATTTGTTATACACATATATAACAATTAAATTAACTCAAAAAAGAACACAAAAAGTTTGTTATTGTAACTTAACAAATTAATAATATATTTTATAGAAAAAAAATTGGGAATTGTAATAACAAAACAACAATATAACATTTTTCACTCAACAAGAAAACAATATTTTTACCAAAAAAAAAAAATAATAATAATAATCATAGTTGATATTGTCAATCGTCGCTGGAGTTCAACCATGTCTCACAATCCACCTCTCAAACCTCTTGCTCGCGACTAAAAAAGCCTTTGAATCACTTCCAACTAAAAACTCCCAACCGATCAAATCCCAAAACCCTCAAATTAACTGCCTCATTCTCCACCGAAATCCTAGAAACACAGACCTCCGCCGACGAGGATGTTAGGGTATACTGTAAAAGCTCGACTTTCAGTTTTTGACAAATCTGTTTTGAATAAGAATCATGACCTAGTCAAGTGTATATTGCAGTTTATTTATTTATGCGAACATAGTTCCTTTATTTTACATTATAGATAATATGGTTTGATGTGTCGAACAAAAAAATCATATTGTCGGTGTCTTGGAAGATATAAATTGGAGAAAATAGTTATTTTCACCCCGTTCTGGAGATGGGATAAGTTAACTTTTCCAAACAATAAGTTAATTTTTCCACCCCATGAAGTGCAAAAAAAATTTATGATTAGCTATGCGATAGACAAGCGAAGATAATTGATAAAGTGAGAAATATTATACGATAAGCTTGACATACAGACAGAGATAATTGATACACTCTGAATCAGTTATGCGATAAAACGATGCGACAAATAGGCGAACATAATTGATGAAGTGCGAAACGATTATGCGATAAAATATGTGACACACTGAAGATAATTGATAAAGTGCGAAACAATTATGAGATGAACTATGTGACAGACATGCGAAAATAAATAATAAAGTGAGAAATAGTTATGCGATAAACTATGCGAAAAACATGTAAAAATAATCGATAAAGTGCGAAACAATTATGCGATACAATATGCGACATATAGACGATGGTAACTGATGCGAAAAACTATGTGACAGACTGAAGATAAATGACAAAGTGCGAAATAGTTATGCAATAAACTATGGGAATAACATGCGAAAATAATTGATAAAGTGTGAACCAATTATGCGATAGAATATGCAACAGACATACGAAGACAATTGATGCAAAAAACTATGCGACAGACAGACGAAGATAATTGATAAAGTGCGAAAACATTATGCTAAAACTATGTGACAGACGAATATAATTGATAAAATGTAAAATATTTATGCAAAAAGCTATGCGACAGACAGACGAATATAATTGATAAAGTGTGAAACAATTATGCGATAACCTTTCCTACAAGCATGCAAACATAATTGATAAAGTGCGACACAATTATGCTATAAAACTATGCAACAAACAAACAAAGATAATTTGATAATGTGCGAAATAGTTATGCGATAGATTGTGCGACAAACAGGCGAACATAATTGATAAAGTGTGAAACAAGTATGCAATAAACTTTGCGACAGACAGACAAACACAATTGATAAAATGCAAAATAGTTATGAATAAACCATGCGACAAACAGACAAACATAATTTATAAAGTGAGAAACAATTATGCGGTAAACTATGTGACAGAAAGGCGAAGATATGCGACGCGCAAACGAAGTTCAGTGATTAAAGTGCGAAACAAATTATGCTATAAAGCATGCAACAGACAAACAAAGTTAATTTAGCAAGTGCGAATTACTTTTTTTTTTAAAGAACCATCCCAAAGGGTGGATAATTAAGACTGGATCCCCAACCAGTAGATAGTCAAAACTCTAAATGGACCAATGTATACAAATGTCAACACATGTCCAACCAAATACAGAAAATAAAAACGAAAAAAGGAAAATCCACCCAAAAAGAGAGTCTGAACCTGGGCTAGAAGGTGCCCAGGCGAGCAGTCTAATCCACAAAAAATCCGAAATACAAAAGATATACACAAAAACTAAAAGGCTACCGGAATCTAAAAGAGGGGTTGCAGTCCTCATCCATCCGTACAAGTGTGCAGAAGCGAAGCGGGGCATCGCCCGGGACCAAATATGCGCCTCTGGAGAGTGGAGCCACCGATGCTGGGTAGAAAGTCAGTGGGTCGGTTCCTCTATCGAAAGATGTGTGAGATCCGGTGGATAACCGATTGTTGTGTGGATCTAATGCGCATGAGCGGGTGCTGGATCTGCCACGACCCCTGGTGTCCTGAGGTCAAGAGGGTGGCGACAATGATAGCATCCATCTCAATCCAAATGTGAGTAGAGATAGAGGTAACAGCCTGAAAACCAATATAAAGCTCCTAAATCTCCGTGTCATAGCTCGAGGAGGCATGAATGAGGCATGGAAGGGAAAAATGAGAGCTCCGGTGTGATCCTTAATCAGGCCCCCGCCTCCGGCGGCTCCGGTTAGTCGGTCGAAGAATCCATCAGTGTTCAGCTTAACCCAAGAGGAGTCGGGTCTCAGCCAGACAATGGCTATGGGCCGTTGGTGCTGCACATGCGGCAGTGGAGACATGTACAATATGAATGCAACCTGTCCAGTCTCTAGGCGTGAGTCTGCCCAGAACTGTGAGGAGGGAGAGATGTCGATCAACTTGCAAAACAATGTGACAGCTCATAAAAGTAATATCTCTATGCAAGTGCGAATTACTTATGCGATCAAGTATGCGATAGATAGACGAAGATTATTGAGCAAGTGCGAAACAAATTATGCGATAAAGTATGCAACAGACAAGATAAGTTAATTGAGCAAGTGTGAGATCAACTATACGACAGACAAACAGAGTTCATTGAGCAGGTGCGAAACAAATTATGCAATAAAGTATGCAACATATAAGCAAAGTTACTTGAGCAAGTGCGAATTACTTATGCGATCAACTAACCAACAGATGTGCTAAGTTAATTGAGCAAGTGTGAAACAAATTATGTAAAAAATCGAACTGCATCGAACCAAATAGTTTCAATCAGTAACCAATTCGATTTTCTATTCGATAGTGATTTTAGTTTGCAAATGGTTCAGTTTAACTGAACCGAATCGATACTAAAAAAAAAAAAACTAAGTAATTTCATAATATCACTCCCCTCTCAAACTTCTATGCTAAATATCTGAAAAGAAATGAAAATATCGATCCACAAAGTCTTGCACACACAACTCACAATTCATAAAATTTCACCAGATCTTCGGCTTTGACAGGTTGCGTTTAGTAGTGCAACGACCATCGACAGCCAGATGGAAGAATGTGGTGTCCAACGACACGATTACGATATGAGTGGAGAGTAAATCTGATTTAGCCCTGTTAATCTTCGGGTATAAAAATTACACGGGAATCCTATGAACTGATATGTATTTTTTTTTTTTTTTTTTTTCTTACAAATAATCTAAAAATAGAAAATTACAATTGAACTGAAAAAAAAATAAATTACAAATAAAAATAAATTAAAACAGAAAGATTTTAGCCGAGGCGAGTAATACTCTTTCCGCAAGAAGAATACGCCCCGTGTGGCAGCTAACGGTTAAGGCGTAACTTCCCCAAAGATACAACGGCAAACGTCTCTAAATCTGTAGCACACCAGATTTACGAGCTCCGGCGAACTGGAACGGAGTTGAGAATTGAGCACTAAAAAATATAAATATATATATCTATTATTTATATATATATATATATATATATTTTTTTTCTTTTTCTTTCCTTTTCTCAATTTTTTTTTCTTCCTTTCCACTTATTCTCTCTCTTCCTTTCCTTTACTCTCTTTTCTTCTCTTCTATTTCTTTTTTCTGCGTCTTTTTCCTCAAATGAGCTGATCTCATTTTATAGAGTATCCATCACATATTAAATAAATTGGTTGGATGTATTTTGATGACAATACTCATCTGCCGAGTGATTGAGGAGACTTTACAATTAAGTGGTTGAGAGTTGATGGAATATTAGGAAGAATAAGAATCAATTAGAGGAATATTAGTTAACAAATAATTTACACTCATTGACTAACAATCCCCCACATGAGTGTAAAATATATGTATACTAGTGTGCTCAATCCTCACAAAACTCTATTGTATCAGAAAAGGTAGCTTTTGTCTTTGAACCTTTCTTTGTAAACATCATCGGATGCACTGGCGGACTAGTGGACATAATACCTTGAACTATTCCTCCGTAATGTACACCGAGACAATGACATTCACACAATAGAATCTTAACTCCATTCCGTTCTATCGTTGTGTCCGTTTTGGCCATGGACAACACAATGGATTCATAAGTGTTTACATTTGAAGCGGCCCTCACTTCACACTTATATAGGTGACCTCCCTATCAAGAGTATCCTGTCATACTCCACCTTTACAAGGTTAGGGATTCATTAAAAGTCCACATGACTTACCCTCACCACAATCAACAGGTCATCTTGCACTTGGAGTGCTCTAGGGAATAGCTTTGGACATTCATATGTTCCGAGTGCTCAACTGAATTTTCATAGCTTAGTTTTTCCTTTGAACCAAGTTTGTGGGATCTCCATTCAGCATGGTAGAGTTACCACTATGGTCATTCTTTACATTGTGGGTTTTTAAGCCCATTCCCTCTAGCAAAACTACCAATTGATCTCTATTCAATCCTTTCGTCAAAGGATCAGCCAAATTTTCCTTAGACTTCACATAGTCAATGGAAATAACACCATTTGTGATCAATTGGCGTACGGTATTATGTCTACGACGAATATGTCTAGACTTACCGTTATACAAGTTACTTTGCGCCCTACCTATAGCAGCTTGACTATCACAGTGAATCATCACTGGCGGCAAAGTCTTATCCCAACATGGAATATCGGATAAAAAATTTCTAAGCCACTCGGCTTCTTCACCAGCTTTATCTAAAGCTATGAACTCCGATTCCATCGTTGACCGAGCTATACACGTTTGTTTTGTGGATTTCCACGAAACTGCACCTCCTCCAATACAGAATACATATCCGCTAGTGGAGCGAGAATCTCTCGAATCTGATATCCAGCTTGCATCACAGTACCCTTCAAGTACGGCTGGATATCTCGAGTATTTTAGCCCGTATTCAAAGGTGTACCTTAAGTACTTAAGTACCCTTCTCAAAGCATTCCAGTGTTCATGACTGGGATTGCTCGTAAATCTACTCAACTTATTCACCGGGTAGGCCAAGTCTGGTCGTGTACAATTCGTCAAGTACATCAGACTTCCTATTATCCGTGAATATTCCAACTGAGCCACTGGTTGACCTTTATTGGCTACCAGATTTATACTGAGATCAATGGGTGTCTTACACCTAGACTGTGCACCGTCATAGGTATCAAATTTCTTGAGCACTTTCTCTACATAATGAGATTGTGACAAGACAATTCCATCTTGGGTTCTGATAATCCTTATTCCAAGAATAACATCAGCCAAACCCATATCTTTCATGTCGAAATTTCTTTTCAACATTCTTTTCGTATCCATGATCACTTCATGGCTACTCCCCATGATCAACATATCGTCTACATATAGACATACAATCACAAATGCATTTGATGTACTCTTGACATAAACACATTTGTCACATTCGTTGATTTTGAACTCATTTGATAACATCACGTCATCAAATTTCAAATGCCATTGTTTCGGAGCTTGTTTCAGTCCGTACAAGGATTTGATCAATCTACACACCTTTCTCTCTTGTCCAGGTGCAACAAACCCTTCAGGTTGCTCCATGTATATTTCTTCTTCCAATTCACCATTTAAAAATGCCGTCTTGACATCCATTTGGTGAATCTCAAGATTGTGCAAAGCAGCAATCGAGAGAAACACTCTTATCGACGCTAAACGCGTAACTGGTGAATAGGTATCAAAGAAATCATACCCTTCCTTTTGTTTAAAGCCTTTGACCACCAAACGTGCTTTAAACTTATCAATCGATCCATCAGCTTTATATTTCTTCTTTAGGATCCATTTACATCCTAAAGGTTTACAACCATCAGGGAGATCAACCAACTCCCAAGTATGATTTTGCATAATGGACTCGATTTCGCTATTTACAGCTTCTTCCCAGAGTGGTCCATCTGGGCTGGACAGAGCTTCCTTAAGGGAACTCGGTTCATCGTCCAACATATACGTAATAAAATCAGGTCCAAACGTTTTCACCGTTTTTACCCTTTTACTACGTCTCGGTTCTTCATCAGTACCATCTGGTACAGAACCACTAGCAGTTTCATATGTTCGTTTATTAGAACTAGATTCTGCCCTTTCTTTTAGAGGAAATATATTCTCAAAGAATATAGCATTCCTCGACTCAATCGTGGTACCAACAGATACCTCTGGATTTTCTGATTTATGAACCAGAAATCTATATGCTGTACTATTGTACGCATATCTAATAAATACACAATCGACCGTCTTTGGCCCGATTCTCATTTGTTTGGGTTCCGGTACTGAAACCTTAGTCAAACACCCCCACACTTTTAGGTATTTATAAGACGGCTTACAATTTTTCCATATTTCGTAAGGAGTCTCATCTTTCCCTTTAGGTGGTATTTTATTCAGGATATGATTTGCTGTTAAAACAGCTTCCCCCCACATGTTTCGGGGTAATCCTGAATTTATCAACATGGCATTCATCATTTCTTTTAAAGTACGATTCTTGCGTTCAGCAACACCGTTTGACTGTGGAGAATAAGGGGCAGTCGTTTGATGAATTATGCCATATTCGAAACATATTTGTTCAAAAGGAGCTACATACTCCCCACCCCTATCACTTCGGATTATTTTAATCCTTTTGCCGAGTTGATTTTCAACTTCGGTCTTATAGATTTTAAATGCTTCCACAGCTTCGTCTTTGCTTCTTAATAAATATAAGTAGCAAAACCTTGTGCAATCATCGATAAAAGTAATAAAATACTTTTTACCTGTTCTTGTTTGCACACTTTTCATATCACATACATCAGTATGGATTAAGCCTAATGGTTCAGTACACCTTTCCACCGAGTGAAAAGGCAACTTAGCCATTTTTGCTTCAATACAAATTTCACATTTCTTATGTGATTCAATTTTAAAATTTGGAATTAATTCTAAATTCATCAACCGTTTAATTGCATTTCGATTTACGTGTCCCAATCTAATATGCCATAAATCAGTACACTCAATGGTATAAACAGAAATAGGCTTTTCATTATCATTTAAAACGGTTACACGGCTCACGGCCATTACATTCATTTTAAACATACCCTTGTCGAGATAGCCACGACCAAGGAAAGTTCCAAACTTGCTAAGAACAAATTTCTTAGCATCAAATACCAGCCTAAATCCATGCTCAACAAGAAGAGATCTGCAGACCAAATTCTTGCAGATGTCTGGGACATGCAGAACATCCTTAAGCTTCAACTCCTTTCCAGAAGTCAGCTTCAGCACCACAGTGCCCACTCCAGCCACATCAGCCGTGGCGGAGTTTGCCATGTAAAGTTTCCGACTCTTAGCAGGAGTGTATTCTGAAAACACCTCCTTATCGGAACACACATGACGAGTGGCACCAGTATCGATGTACCACTCCCTTGGGTTATCCACCATATTGGCTTCAAACACCACAGCCGACATATCAAAGTCGGTTAGTTCACCCGGCACAGGGCCGTGTTCAGCAACAAGGGCACTCGATTTACCTTTCTTTGGCCCAGCCTTCTTTGGCCTCTTGCAGTCTTTAGCCATATGGTTCGGCTTTCCACAATTATAACAAGTTCCGGTAAACTTCCAAACCTTGGCAGGCTGCTTCCCTTTGTCTAGGGACTTTCTCTTGCTCGAGTTGTCTTGCTCTATCAAGTTAGCACGAGCCTCCATCATCGGAATTTTTCCCGATGAATTACGATTGTCCTCCTCAATACGAAGACGAACAATCAAGTCTTCAAGACTCATTTCCTTCCTCTTATGTTTGAGGTAGTTCTTGAAGTCTTTCCAACCCGTCGGCAGTTTTTCAATCACAGCCGCAACTTGGAATGACTCGCTCAGAGACATTCCCTCAGCATGAATATCGTGCAAGAT